GCAGTCGCCACCCATTTGCAATATTCGCGGATAAAAATTTCTTTATTTGCGGATCTAATAAGTACGTTAAGTTTATTTAAATAAAGATTATTTCTATTTAATTAAATACAAAGCAAGGAAATAATATAATGTTTGTTGCAGGAAAATGACACTATATTGTTGGTTGAGACTATGTATATTACAGATGTAATAGACTGACAATATGTACATAGAAATATTGATCTTATATACTAAATGACAATAGGAAAATGTAAGGTGGGGTGACACAGTTTAGACACGGCAGTACTTAGTACGCAATATTGGATTTGTCTTACTAGACATTATTATTATTTTGATGTATCAAAACATCGTTTGTGTCCGTCTACGAAATACAATCTACATACCTTCTAAATAACTTTAAACAATAAGGTTTGTTTTACAGTTTAATTGAGAATAGGTAAAAAACAGACAGTTACACAATAGAATAGAATAGGATAGGACAGGACAGGACAAAACAGAACAGAACAGAATAGAACTGATTAGGAAAAAATAGAATAGAATAGAAATTCATTTATTCAAATATTTTAATGATATCAAACTTAATTTAACTTCTTTTGAATAGTCATAGTTATCATTCTTTTAATCTACCGCTCAATCGGAAAGCTGTCTCATCACAAGAAGAACGAGCCATATCGTATCTATACAAATAAAAGTATATATTTGGAGACTGTAAAATATTTTTTTTATTTTCCTGCTCGGGATGTCACCCTGATAACGTTGGGATGAATATGATTCATAACCCCATCTGCATTGTCGATACCCTCTCGATATTCAAGCCCAGTTCAATAGCATTAAGCTAAAATTGAAAACGAGTATTTCTAGTTTCCCAGTTGGCGCGGCGCAGACAAACAGACGTTGGTTTGTTAAATTGCGGATTATATTTGGCAAGATAACGCACAATGTCACCGAAATGCTATTGGAATTGTTTGTTTTGCGTTTACGCACGTGTCAGTGACAAAACAATGTTTCTGTTTACTTTATTGTGTTTTGCGCGTCCATTTACTAGTTTGTTCTTAGTTTTGAATTTAAAAATGTCCATTTGTTGATAATACATAATAATAATAATAATAATAATCTCAGGACAATTCACACAGAGCCATCTAGTGGGTCTAGATGGCTCTGTGTGAATGTGAAAGTTAAGCTAGCTAGAGCTTGTGTTATGGGTACTATATAACTGGTACATATACATAGATATTTTTTTTGTATATAATGTTTTTTCAATGGATGATAATGGAATATTTGAAAAGATTACGAGCTGAGTTTCTTGTCAGTCTTTCTCGTCTCAAAATCCTTCCGAACTGACGGTAGATTTGACATATCATAAGAGTCTGTAATAGACCTACATGAATAAAGATATTTTGAATATTGAATGGTGCACCCGCATTTTTTAAGATACGCATTATGATCACTCCTGCACCTTGTCTGGATCTTTTCAGATAATATGTTTATAATAATAATCTCAGGACAATGCACACAGCGCCATCTAGACCCAAGTTAAGCTGGCTAAAGCTTGTATTATGGGTACTAGATAACTGATACAAATATATAGATATATTTTTCGTAAATACATACATATTATACATAGAAAACAACCGATACAAACAATCATGCTCATGAATACAAAGTTTTTGCCATACAAAGGATTGGACCCGCGACTATAGGAAGTAAGGAGGTGTGCTAAACCGCTGGATCACAGAGGCCGTCAATTAATGATTTATATTAGTAATATTTGCACCAGTAGCTTTCATTCCACGTTACTCTTCAATAAGAGCCGAGGTGTCATTGATGATGGTTGAATGATTGATCAGTCAAATCATCGTCATCATGTCATCAGTGATCCAATACTGCTGATTACGTGCTACAGCTGTTTAACAGACTGTTTAGACAACAAGAATTAGCAAACTGGTGAAAATTTAGAACAAACAATCAACAAGTTTACATCGACCGGTATGAATAAATATTTTCTTTCTTTTTTATACCTGCACGTTCCGGAAGGGTATCGGAAGTCGTCGTAACAATATTTCGTCCCCGTTAAATAGATCCAACACACTTCCCAACAATTGACTCGGTGGTCTAGCGGTTTAGCACACCGCCTCACTTCCGATGGTCGCGGGTTCGATTCCTCGCACGGCATAAACATTTGTATTCATAATTGTTTGTATCGGTCTGAGTGTTTTCTATGCATAATATGTAGGTATTTACGAAAAAAAATATATCTGTGTATTTGTATTAGTTATCTAGTGCTCATAAACAACCTTTAGTTACTTTACTTGGGTCCTAGATGGCGCTGTGTGAATAGTCCTGAGATTATTATTTCGTAGACCGCCACACGGCTCACACACGATTACACAAAAACCAAGTTTTTGCACCCGGAGCCGCTTCCTACGGAAGTACCGCACGCGAGCGAGACAGCACACGTTCAAATGTATTAGTAGAAAGGGATGACAATCGTGGGAAATACAGGGGTGGCGATATCCCATAAGATTATTGAAGTGGCACGGTCATATAATGCGGAATATATTCTGTAACTCCCTTGTTAATATTACGGTGTTTTTACCCTCCGGCAGACAGCTGGCCAGGGTTGGAGCTTGTTTTAATTACTTTGACCTTACATGACCACCTGTGTGTGGAGCTATTTAATAAATTCTGTAGCAAATGGTATATAGGTTGAGGGTCGGTGATATCATTTTAATTAACAGGTGTGAATGGTTTTTTTAATTACTTAGAATGAACATGCATGCGGATAATATTAAATAACGGCTTTCGTTGTCTATTGGTTTAGCACGCCGCCTTGCTATCGAAGGTTGCAGGTTCGATTCCTCGCACGGTACAAACATTTGTATCTATATACATATATATAAATAAAATTGGAGTGTCTGTTTGTAATATTGAAATAGTCGTTTTTTACTACATGCATATATATAAATACATACACCAAAAAAACACTTTTTACTATTTTTGTCTGTCTGTCTGTCGGTCTGTTTGTTGCAGTTAATCCCTGAAATGGTTGGACCGATTTTGACGGGACATTTTTTGGCAGGTAGCTGATGTAATAAATAACTTAGGCTACTTATATTTTAGAAAAATAAATTTATTTTTTTACTTAACGTATCTAGTTTATAAATAAGATTGTGTCTGTCTGGGTGTCTGTATGTACAAAACCGGAGGAGGGCGTCGATATTCGAAACAGTTTTATACTTCTGTGAATGTTATCGTATTTTCAGTAAATATGTACATGTTTCTGTTTAAAATAAATAAATAATTATTAGTATTAATAGGTACAAATAAAATACATTTTTCAAAAGTACATACACACTTTTGAAAATTGTATGGTGCACCCGCCTGCGCTAACGGTTTACGCTGGCGGGGCACCAGTGGAGGATGATAAGATGAGCATGAGGTCAGGTCAGTTAGTCCATCGCGACAAATTCGCCAGGAATTTGTCACGATGGTTTCCAGGGGGAACCGCGTGGAGGTCGACCTGACATGGTACATTGTTAGTAATAGGTCATGAGTCCACATTACTTACAATCCCCTTCCCCTAAAAAGTATGTATATATATATATCAGTTGTCTAGTACATATAACACAAGCTTTGTTTAGCTTGGGACTAGATGGCGCTGTGTGAATTGTACTGAGATATAGGTTGTTAGCGATATAAATGAGATTTAGGTACCTGCAGATGTCGTCTCTCCTCGGATAGTGTTTAAAATGAAAGAATAAAAAAGTCTGTTACAAAAAATAATTTAATTTTCTTTTCATTTATGCAATCGCAGGCTTCTCTGTGTATTTACAATATCGTATTCCACGAATTGTTGTTTTGTTATTAGACTTTTATGAACACACAACTATTTTTATACCTATGTTTGTTTGTAATTCTTTATTGTACAATAATATTATAAATAAAATGACACAATTGACTTAAAAATAAATGCCTACAATACGGACTTATCCCAAAAGAGGGATTTCTTCGAGACAACCTTTGAGTTACTGAGAGGAATTGTGGAGTGGTGGATACAGGTACAATAAATACCTTTTGCTTGTATTATAAAATGTTTTAGTTTATGCGAACAAGGATTTTATCTATCTATATATATCTAAGTATACTTAGCGACTATAAAATGCCACAGAGCACGAGCAGATATGTCTTCAGTTTATTATAAACATTACTTTGTAAAAATAATACTCACCCAATATTTTATTAATAATACTTTTCGTACTAATATTTAGTACATTATTAACATATATTCACAATAATTGTATTGTCACAACCATTTCATTATAGCGAATGAGCAATCTTATATTTTATCTATATAAATATCTTATTTGTACATTGAATTTTGTATTAAAGACTTCACAATCATTAAAGCTATCAATTTGGCTTTAATACACTGACTTCAAATAGACTTAACAAATATACTATATTGCTAACACACAACTCAAATATTATATATATAAAATTAGTATATAATACAACAGTACAGTGCAAAACTATTTCTAATTTAGACATTTATTTTAAACTCTGAGATCTTTTACAACAACGGCAAATCATTCCATTTAAAAGGGTAATGGGTGAATTAACTCAATCAGTGTTGCCAACCTTAAAACATTTAGCCTCGAAATAAAAACACCTGTTAAATCTCGTTGTTGCTGGCAGGTTGTCCATTATTATTTTTGTAAATATTTATATTATTTCGTTCTGTCTTGCGAGCACTCTTGAGAACTATTTACACGGTAAATTATTACTGGTTTTTTAATAATTGCGTAGTGGTCCAGTCACAATTTGACTCTGTCATCTTATTATATTTTGAGTGGTTTCCCTATGTCAAGATATCGTATAGACTTCAAATACAAATCTCGTACTTCTAAGAAGTTTCTCGTACGGTTGGCAACACTAAACTAATTTTTGAGGCAGACAATGCTTTCTGCCTGTCTGTCATATGCATGTATTATAACATAATCATTAATATATATGTACCCCTTAATTTGAGTTTAAATTAATCTTTTAAATGGAATAATTTGAATAAAATTCACATAACAGTCCTAATAGGCTAACTCAGCTCCCCAAGGTCTGTATGGTTTCGAACTGTTCTGTGAGTACTGATGATGTGTTGGATGGTGAGGGTATGGTGCTGGGTAATGAGGAGCTGGTGGGGCAGGGTGCGGACCAGGGGGCGCCGGAGGACCTGGAGGAGCAGGGGGGTAATGTGGATAACTTGGAGGTGCTGACAACGGCGCGGCTATCGCTGTGGGTGCTGCAACCGTCGCTGATGCTGTACTGGTAGCTGTTTCCTGCCTATGCCCTAGTTCCGTATACCCATGCTGTGTCTGAGGTACAGGTGTCGAGGGATATTGAGGGTAGCCCCAATTGGCAGATTTGGCAGCCAACTCCCGCTGTGCCGCGAAACATTGGAGGTGGCTCATTAGCCTGAGCCGCAGAGGATCCTGAATGTCCAAACCCTCGCAGCTGACTAGATACCTGGCGACTTCCGCAGCACACTCCCTGAACCCGATGCTGTGGTAGTCCATGGCGTATCTCTGAGGGTCGTACGCGAATGTGTCAAGTCCTGTAACAAGAGAGACGGAAATATAAATAAATAGTCTTTCACCATCCAAGAATTTAAAAAAATACAATATTTTTAACGTGTATAAATGTCATATAAAATTAAACGATTAGAGTAATTATATTTTAGTCTTCTGGACTAGGAACGCATGAGTAGTATCGTATCACATGACAACGTGATGTCGTGAACGTGAACGTATATATATATATATGTATGTATACTAACTACTCGCCCCATATTCGCCTGGGTGTACATGTATTATATATATAAACCTTCCTCTTGAATCATTCTATCTATTAAAATCCGTTGCGCTTTAAAGATTTAAGCATACATACGGACGGACAGACAGCGACAGCGACTTTGTTTTGTACTATGTAATGATGACCAACAGGTAGGACGTAAGCTTATATGTCATTACATTAAAAAAATTGACTTGAATGAGAAAGCGAGAGACTGAGAGAGAGTGGTAATTTTGTATTTTCTGTGTATGACAGGTTTATGAAGCTACTCTGTCCGGAACAACAGTAGGTAGATAGTTGAAGAATTCTTCCAACATTTAATAGGTGGATAGACTATTGTAGTCCATTAATAAAAGCAAGTAAAGTTAAAGGGGCTACTAATTAATTTATAAAATATACAATAGAAGAATAAAAATGTAAGGGCATAAATATTATACGAAAAGGTCGAAATTAAAAGGTATAAATTGTTTCAAATTATTCACGTTTAATAAGTTTGTGTTCTTTTTTAACCTTAAAAAAGTTAGCTATTAGACTAGTATGTCTCTTGAATATACTATATTTACTACTTAATCTAGACATATAAATAAAATTGGAGTGTCTGTTTGTAATATTGAAATAACCGTTTTTACTACATGCATATGAATATACATACGGTACATACACCAAAATAACTTTTTTCTCAATTTTTGTCTGTCTGTCTGCCTGTCTGTATGTTTGTTATAATTACTTTACAAAGAATACATCCACGCATGTCGTTGAGATTTACACACACGCGACTTCGTCCATGTGGAAAGTAACTTTATTTTTCCAAAACAAAATAAATTTTCTAAAATAAAAGTAGCCTAAGTTACTCCTTATTATATCAGCTACCAGCCAACAAAAGTCCCGTCAAAATCGGTCCAGCCATTTTAGAGATTAGCCGGAACAAACAGACAGGCAAAAATTGTAAAAAATGTTATTTTGAATTTTTGTACCGTATTTATATTCATACGCGTGTAGTAAACAACGGTTATTTCAATATTACAAACAGACACTCCAATTTTATTTATATGTATAGATATTAAGGATACACTATAAAGACTTACAATAACTGCAGCCGTGATAACTTGTTTTTTATATGAACATATAAAATTTACAATGCAAAAACTTACACGACGTTACATAAGCACACGTCGCGAACAATGCAATTCAAGAAAACGAGACACCAACCATTTAGCCCTCGTGTTACTACCCTTACGCAACAAGTGTCAGACAGAGAGAGACACAGCTGTCAGAGAGAGATGGATGTTGACGTAACGGGATGCCCAAGTATCCGGAATTCTTGTTTAGGGACGAGCCAAGCCAAATAAGATGGGTCTGGCAATCCCTTCGTAAGTTGAATAAGATCATTCAAGAAATCCGACGTTGTGTAGTACATGAGAGGTCTAAGTTAGTTGGTTTTGAGAGTAGGCCACCGGGCCATATGTCGAAGGGTGAAGATGCAGCCATAAATGTAGTTATTGAAACTTTATTCCTTCTTATTGGTATTTTTATGAAAATTGTTATTCAATATAAAATATTTACAATTTTTTTTTATTATTTAAGTGTTAAACATCTGTTTATTATATTGAATTTAATGCTAAATCATTAGTACATATATATATATCATATACTAATCTATATATATAAATAAAATTGAAATGTCTGTTTGAAATATTGAAATAAACGTTTTTTACTACATGCATATGAATATAAATACACCAAAATATTTTTTTTTACAATTTGTGTCTGTCTGTCGGTCTGTTTGTTCCGGATAATCTCTGAAATCGCTGTACCGATTTTGAAGCCGGGGTGGGTAGCTAGTAGGCAATAAATTTCATGCCAGTGAAACTGTGAGTTAATTTTCACTTGTAGTACTGAGATCGGGTTGTGAGGAGAACAAGATGGTCTGTCCAGATTTTGGAGTGCGTTGCATGATTTATCTTTTGATTTTGCTTATACTGTGAATGAATTTGCTTGAACTGTAATGGAGTGGTTTGCAGCAAATGTTCAAATGCACTTTAATAACTGGTTATAAGTAGCAGGACAAACTATGACTCAATATTAAACTATATTTGCTATTACATAGAGGTTTTAGTTGAATGGTAGTGGCTCGATAAATTTTACGGAAATCAAAGCACACGTCTTGCTTACTTTGTGGCTCAGACGAGACTGCTGAGTACAGCTAGTGATTTATATATTTGAGCAATATTTGACTAGTATGTACTTTAAATTAGTACATAAAGATTTTACTTTAATAAGTTCTTCCGAGAGACTAATTGGGATAAAAAAATCGAATCATTTTAATGATAACACTTAAAAATATCTTAAGATACCATTGTTCGCCCCTTACTTCCGTCTTCGCCCAGTTGGTTGCAATGATTATGTATTTTTTCTAACGCAGGTGTGACAACCCTTGCTCAGAAGTATGTTCCGCTTCCGCTTGTCATTTGGGACAATAGAATCACGTGATCGGTGAATGCGAATGTAGATTAAGGCATTGGGACACTTTTTACTATTTACAAATGAAGTAAATTTAATTTGAACGCTTCAAATATGTTAATTTATTTAATTATATTTTATTTATATGTATACACATATAAATAAAATTGGAGTGTCTGTTTGTAATATTGAAATAACCGTTTTTACTACATGCATATGAATATATATACGGTACATACACCAACATAATATTTTTACAATTTTTGTCTGTCTGTCTGTCTGTCGTTCCGTTTGTAATGGCTAATCTCTGAAATCGCTGGACCGATTTTGATGGCACTGTTTTTTGGCAGATTAGATTAGCCATTTCAGTGCATTATTGGATGTAAAAAATGTTTATTTTATGTTTATTTTTTAATTATGGTAAATTAAGTTTAATTATATGTACATTTTATTTGCTCTTTTTTTTTCGTTTGTTGTTTATATTGTATTTTTTACATTGCACTAAATAAAATATTTTTCTTCTTCTTCTTCAAATAAACGTAGAGCGTAAAGTCAGTATATTGACAGCCATTTTGGTAAATTTATTTTTAAAATCTGTTAATTCTATCAAAACTGCTAGTATTCCGTTAAATAATATAAAATATTTTAAACAACATCAATTTACTTTTGGACCAGACAACAATGTAAACAATAGTTATTTCTCAGGTATCAACAAACTCAGGTTAATTGTCGATCGCTAACTACCTTAGCAAATATACTGCGATACAGTTATCTACACTATCAATCAGTTTACATCGGCGTTTATCAGTCCGTATGTTTGTCCAGGATAGCGTGGGAAGCGGGCGCCCTCCCTCGTCACACCCCGACTGTACGAGGGTGGTTTACCCTCCCGCAAGTCAATAGCTTACTTATTGTCCGTACGATATGATTTTACTGGTAGTATGTTTTTTTTTTCAGTAAATTTAACAATGTTGAAGGAATAAATATACGTTTTATAATAAAAAAGGTTTTGTTCGCGTTTCATTTGTTAGAGTATGTTATATTAACAGTATGTTAAATAAAGGCCTTGGTTGTATAACGGTTTAGCACAACGCCTTATGGTCGCGGGTTTGATTCCTCGCACGGCACAAACATTTGTATTCATGAGTATTTATTTATTTATTTAATTAACACAATATAAACTTACAGCTAATTGCCAACACGTTTATATTTTAAAACTATTATTACTACTTAAACTATATAATGATAAAAATATTCTTATTTTATTTATTACTAGCTCTGCTCCCGCGACTTCGTCCGCGTGGATTTTAACTTTATTTTTCCAAAATAAAAGTAACGTAAGTTACTCCTTATTACATCAGCTACCTGCCAAAAAAGTCCCGTCTAGCCATTTCAGAGATTAGCCGGAACAAACAGACCGACAGACAGACAGACAGACAGACAAATTTTAAAAAGTGGTTTTTTATGGATGTTTGTTGCTCTTTCACGCAAAACTACTGAAAGGTTTTTAATGAAACTTTGCAGTAGAATCAGAATAATCATAGGCTACATTTTTTATTGAAATTTAACGCGGGTAAAACCACGTGCGCAGCTAGTATACTATAATATAATAATTTACGTACAGAAGGAATATATATATAGTGCTGTTTTTTATATATTGTGTTACGTACGTAGTCATTTATTTGGTTTCTTATATATGCTCTATTTCAAACACTCCACATTGTAATGACAGAGACAACAAGCTGTCTCAACATTGTTCCATCTCCCTTATCTGTATCGCTTCCTGTGTTTTTATCGGCGCCAGGTGTCCGACTGTCTGTCCTACCTGGCTTAGTAACTGATACTCAGCTGATCGACTTTTAATTGTCTGGTCAAGTTTTTCTATCCATTTGCGGCCAGCCGATTGTAATTGAAAAAATCTTATAACATTAATACATTCAACTTTCTTTGTGGGGACTGGTCTGTTCGGGTTACGAACACTGATTAGACTATTTGCTTTTGCAATAGCATATGCTGGTGGTCACTCTATTATCCCAAATTTGAATTTCAAAATGAATCTGTATTATTGTAAACATGTACAACATTTATTTGAAAATAATACGAGCTGAGTTTCTTGTCAGTTCTTCTCATCTCGATATCATTCCGAACTGACGGTAGATTTGACATATCATAACTGTCTGCAGTAGACCTACATGAATAAAGATATTTTGAATTTGTGATACTAGCGACGCACCTCGGTTTTGCAGTATAGTTTCGGGTAAGTACTACATTAATGTATGAAACGGAGATGAAATGACTCTATGTACTATCTGTAACCGCGATTACATAGGTGTGGAATTAAATAATAAAAAATCTAAAATATAAGCAGCTTAAGATACTCCATATAATATTAGCTATTTGTGAGTGAAAATTCTATTAAAATCGGTACAGACGTTTCAGAGATAAACACGAACAAATAGAGACAAAAAAAATTATAATAAATTAATTTTTGCAGTAATTACCGTATATACTGTCATATTCCTTTAGTGAAAATCTGTTAATTTGAAATTACAAACAGACAGTTAAATTTAATTTATTTGTATACATATAAATCTATAAACTTTCAGGAAGAAATGTTCAAAATACTAAAAAGACACTCAAAAAAAAAAGAAAAAAATTGTAATTACCGTATCTGCATTTCATATTCATTTAGTGAAAATCTGTTAATTTAAAGTTACAAACAGACACTCCAATTTAATTTATTTCTATACATATAAACCTATAAACCATCAGGAAGAAATTCTCAAATCAATAGTGAAAACCGTTTCAGTCTGCCGCGTGGTCTGTAAACCGAAATTACGATGTTTGATGAATAAGATGGTCTGTCTCTAATTAAACCGGAAACCGGATATGTCCATACCATGTGGTTTCGGAATCAATGAACACGCGGTTAACGTGGCATATATACTATAAACTGAATCTGGTTTTACACAAATTAGTGCAGCCGATAGCCTTGTCCGGCAAAACCACTAATTGGGAACATCCTCGTGATTTTTTTCGGTAGAATAACTTCGGAAGGAAGAGAAATTAAGGTTTTTTCCCCCTTTCATATAAAACGTGCCACTATGAAAATTTTCTACAATAATTAATTAGAGACGATGAACTTATATCTGTAGTATAAAACAACTGACATAAACGTTATAGACAGATTTTCTTTAAACAAGTTTGTTTTAGAATTACACGTGTTAGAGTTCACATCAATATTGTAGAAAAAATCCGATATTTTAGAAAGATATTAAAAAAGGTAGTTTGTGTTTAGTACTAATGAAGTACCCAATGTAAGGATTATTACAAATATTGTAAATAGCGCCATCTAGTATTTATAGACCGACCTACTACATTGACTTCGGTCTATAGTCTATAAATACGGAGGTCGGTAGTTGAATAATTCTCTTTCGTTGGGTGATCCGCGGCATTTAGTCGACGAGCGCAGAGCGTGCCGGTTGTGTTTTGGATACTAAAATGAATTGTATTAGGAATGGGTTTATCCCGGTCTTAGTTGGGCCTGGGGGGAAGCTGTAAGTAGTGAAGGTGAGTTTTAATGGATTCCAAAAGGACCTTTTAAACCTACACCCGTGTCACAAGTCACGGGCGCTACTTGGGGTTTCCCTTGCGGTAGCCGGGTTCATAGCCTAAGTCGTCATGGTTTCATAGTGCTTCTTACACACGTAACTGAAAACCTCTATTTTCACCAAAAAAAAGGATCTATCTTAGTCTAATACGCAAGAAAAATCCAAGACAGTATAAAATTGAAAAAAAATATGCAATGTATAAATATATATAATGAATTTTAAGTATAACGAAAGAAATATCTTTATATTTACCGTAATAAATATTGCTAACTTCTTTCGAAATCATTACATAGTATAAAACAAAGTCGTAGCTGTCTGTCCGTCTTTGTCGTGTCTCGTCTGTTCTGTACTTTTGAGATATATACTTATTTGTTAAAAACTAAGTCCAGTCATATAAGCTTACTAATAAAGTTTAACTTACAAATAACTTTATAAACAGTAGTCTCATAATCGGGAATATTATTCCCAAATTCCAACATTCACAAATGTCGGATAAAAAAACGGGTCCACCTGTCGCGTAGACCCGGAAGAGAGACCCGCGTGGGAACTAGATCCATCAGGAGTAGGGTTGCCAACCACACTTTATAATAACGTATCCTACTTTATTTTTGGTAATTATACTTTATGCAAAATACTTTATTTTCAACCTTTACTGTGATGCGTAAAACAAAATACTCATTATAGGTACTTAACGATTTATAACTACTGAACGAAATGTTAGATGTCAATGTGAGTTGTGACATTTGTCGCAGCTCTAGTGTTAAAAGCCCACAAAAATACGTGTTTAAAGCAATAAAAACATGAAATTAAAATTATACTTTATTTTTTTCTAATAACTAACTAACTTTATACGTTTTTTGTCAAAGAAAGTTGGCAACCCTAATCAGGAGGCGCGTGACGCGGCGTGACGCGACGTGCTATATTACGGCACGTATGACATCCATGAAATGTCGTATTGTTTTTTTCAATATTGTATCTAAACTAATATTGCGAAGAGAAAATATTTTGATTTAAAGAACATAATAATAAAATATAAAATAATATAATAATCTCAGGACAATTCACACAGCGCTATCTAGACCCAAGTTAAGCTAGTTAAAGCTTGTGTTATGGGTATTAGATAACTGATACAAATACATACATATTTGACATCATATGGGCATGACATAATTGATACAAATACATAGATTTCTTTCATAAATACATACATATTATAGAAAACATCCAGACCGATACAAACAATCATGCTCATGAATACAAATGTTTGTGCCGTGCGAGGAATCGAACCCGCGACCATCGGAAGTAAGACGGCGCCGCGGCGTGCTACACCACTAGACCATCGAGGCGTCATGATATAAATCCCTTATTGTGTGATTATTTTATATGTATTTTTAATTATCTATATGGTAAATATATACATTTTATTTAAGCTTTTTTATTTCGTTTGCTTGTTTTTTATATTGTAACATTGTTGAAAAGCACTAAATAAATATTTTTTCTGTCTTTCTTTCTTTCTTAGTAACTCTTTTAATTTTTTTTACTGTAATAACCAACATACAGTCAGTAACTCATTATAAAAAACAATTATCAAATAACACAGCTCATCGCATAATGGTTAACAATCATAATGTAACAAAGACTTTTCTTTGTCCTTAACTATTGCATAGACAATTCTTATCTTAAACCGGGAATATGTAGTATGCAATTTCTTTTGTAACGTGTCGCCTGGCGTGGAGTTTATCGATATTCACCGTTACAATTCACTTTTAACGTTTCAAATGTTTTTTTTTAATTGCAGGAAACGGAAACGTGCAGTATAGAATAGAATAGAATAGAATAGAAAATCATTTATTCAAATAAACTTTGCTCAGTAAATGTGATTTAGCAGATGTTTTGAATTTATTTAAGGATAATTCCAGCCTTTGGTATGTTATTGTAAATTTTTATTCCTATTCCCATAAACGACCTATTGACTTTTTTTAAACGATACTTGGGGACAGCAAGTTTGTCTTTAAATGTAGAAGATAAGGGATAAAAAGTAGGTTCCTACCTTTTGAATGTAACATCTTCAAATGGTCAACAGTGAGTTGGAGAATCTCCGCTTTCTCCAGCTTGGCGCTGCCCTGCTTCTCACAGGCAGCGGGCACCAGCCGCTTCAGTTCAGTCAGCGAGGTGTTGATGCGGTCTCTGCGCTTCTTCTCTATCACGCCCCGCCGTCGCTTCCTCGTCATCAGCTGACAGGAATCACCACCTGGAGATCTGTAAAGTGAGACAGTTTAATAAAAATATAGAAAACTGTCCCGGCAAACGTTGTTTTGCCATATAAATTAATAACGCTATAAAAAAGTAGGGGTTGATGATAGAAGGGTGAAAATGTAAGATTGTATGTATTTTTGTATGTTGTATCATAAAAAAATATAAACTAAAAATTTTGCCTAAAAAATAATAAAAAAAAATTTAGGAGTGGACTACCCCTAACATTTAGGGGGATGAATAATAGATGTTGGCCGATTCTCAGACCTACTCAATACGCTCACAAAATTTCATGACAATCGGTCAAGCCGTTTCGGAGGAATATGGGAACGAAAACTGTGACACCAGAATTTTATATATAAGATATTTCATTATTTACATTATATATGTACATTACAATCATGTACATTATATATGTTTATGGATCTTACAATATATATGAGGCTCTATTTCCTTTTGTCACTGCATGATGCATGGACGTCTGGACTGATTTCGCTGATTCTTTTTTTGTTGTTTATTATTGTTATCAGAATAAACTTATGAAAGAACATAAAAAAAGTTGTTTTTTCATTATTTATTGTACAAGTTTTTGACGACCTCGGTGGTATAGCGGTCTAGCACACCGCTTTACGTCCGATGGTCGCGGGTTCGATTCCTCGCACGGCACGAACATTTGTATTCATGAGTATGATTGTTTGTATCGGTCTGGGTGTTTTCCATGTATAATATGTATGTATTTACGAAAAAAAAAATCTATGTACTTGTATCAGTTATCTAGTACCCATAACACAAGCTTTAGGTAGCTTAATGTGGGTCTAGATGGCGCTGTGTGAATTGTCCTGAGATAAAAAAAAAATATTTTAGAATAATATCTTTTTTTATTATAGCATAGGGGCTACAAACGAGCATGCGGCTCACCTGATGGTAAGTGATTACCGTCGCCCATGAGCACCCGCAACACTAGGAAAATTGCAAGTGCTTTGCCGGCCTTTTAAGAAGGAATAATGAAGGTTTCAATATCGTATTGATTCGAAAATAATATTGCTGGAAGGTGATTACACAATTTGGTTGTAGAGACTAAAAGTTCCATCTAACATACATACAACATTGTATTTCCATTTGATTACAGATTCCAAAGACAAATATTAATAATTTATAAGTACATATCAATTTATATTCAATATGTTTCGTAATTCCGTCTGTTATATATTTCCTCAAAATATTTGCGAAATCGGTTTTATATTATGCTCAGATTTATACAATGAATACTTAATAAGCAAAGTCTGAAGGTACGTAATAGGGGGGAATAGAATTGTTAGTAATGTGCACTTATGACCCCATTACTAGCAATGTACCATGTCAGGTTGACCTCCACGCGGTTCCCCTGGAAACCATCGTGATAAATTCCCCGTGAATTTGTCACGATGGGCTAACTGACCTGATTTCATGTTCATCTTATCATCCTGCACTGGTGCCCCGCCAGCGTAAACCGTTGGCGCAGGCGGGTGTACCATTCCATTATCATCCATATAAAAAAAAGGTACGTATTACATTTAGACTTGCAGTCAACCTTTAACATATCACTCGGCGCCGTCTAGAACAAACTAAGTGAACATGTACTAAACAACCGATAAAATCACCTAAATAATAATAAATTACTTGGTCAGTATGAACTGTAACTCTAATTCATAATACCGTGGAATTTCGAGAATCCTTCCCAATATTATTAATGCGAAAGTAACTCTGTCTGTCTGTCTCGCTTTCCCGTCAAAACTACTGAACCGATTTAAGCGAAATTTGGTACACAGATAGTCTAGACCAAGTAAAGCAAAAACAACAAGATGACCGCTTAAACTCCTTGCAGTTTGTCATAGACCCCTGGGGGTCGATATACACCACTTGGGAATCACTGTTCTAGAAATTTCTTTAATTTGTCTATTGCTGATTACTCGTAAAATAACACAAAATAGGGCCTTGACTAGTTGTGTAATTTTTGTGAACGTAACAATTCTTTGCCTTTAGTTTCCTTTCTCTGTAATTACTTTTGACATACATATATATATATATATACTAGCTTTTACCGGCGGCTTCGCTCGCGTTAATTTATCCCCATGGAATTTATCAACATCCTTTCTTAGGGGATGCGTACATCATAGTAGCTTTATGCATGCAGAGTCTCAGCCCGATCGGTTCAAAATTGACAAAGTTTCATACAAAGTTTCATACGCTATTTTATCCCCTTGGGTGTAGAATTAATCAAAATCCTTTCTTAGCGGATGCCTACGTCATAACATCTACCTGCATGCCAAATTTCAGCCCGATCCGTCTAGTGGTTTGAGCTGTCCGTTGATAGATCACTATGTCAGTCACCTTTGAGTTATATATATTTAGATATTATATATATAATTAGATATATATAAGATAAGTACATTTATTTTTATACATTGACTCGTCAAACTGCAGAATAGTTTGTTGGCAAGATATCGCTTAGTTTTTTAAATATTTACCTACCTATATCCATATAAATACACGTTTTTAGAAAGAAAGCAAGAAGTTTTTAGTAATTTAGCAATAATATATATATATATTTTTAAACTATCTAAATGTACACATTTTAATTTCGACTTCAGTACTGCTCTACTTAAATTAGAATTTCATTGTAACCCATCTAAATTAATTAAAAAACCCCATTGTTCTTTCCCCGTAATAATTGATAACTCTCGGTTAAACAAATTTACTCTGCGTGTTATTTCTCGTATTGTAGATATTTTTTAATACAATTCTAACATTTACCTATAGCTATAGTGTTTCGAGAAACTTTCACACCGCCACTTAGATATTTATTACATACTCGAAATATGTAGGCTCAATAACATGTCATAGTTAGTTAAAGGAGTCAGATCTCGGTGGTCTAGAGATTTAGCACATCGCTTTATTTCCGAAGGTTGCGGGTTCGATTCCTCGCACGGCACAAACATTTGTATACATGAGTGTGATTGTTTGTATACTATATATGTTTCTGAAAATATTTAACCAGACTGGAAGTGCATCATTCAATTGTATTATAGTAGACAATTATGTATTTATTTGTATGACGCGCGAGGTCCCACAACACGTGCTACGCGCCTACGCGTTACGTCATTACTACGAGACAAGATGACACTTGACTAATCAACCTGATCTCGTTCCATACAAAAACTGTATTGGCTGTCATATGAAACGACCAAATACAAGATAGACTGTTAGGTATGATAGTACGGGCTGTATTTACATTATTTGTTATACTGTATGTATATAAAAGTAGTGTGTATATTGAAATAAAAATTAATTACAGACATAAATAGTATGTAGAACAGTATAAAATAATTAAGAATTAGGAGCGCAACAATTAATCAGTATATCTGCAAAAGAAGCCATTTTGTAGTTTAAGTTTTTTAGTTTCCCGCGCAAACGTAATGCGTCACAGATACAGAATATTGCACGGCGCGCAGTCGCCGTAGGATGACGAGCGCGTCATAGCTGTATGCGGATGTTAATACTATGAGTATGTAATATTATGTTATCTGTGCTATGGGTATTAAACACAGATCATAATCTAAGCAATAATCGTGCGTTCAAAAAGTATGAAACAGCATGTATTATTAAAAAAAAAACAATTTTTTAAAACTGCATGTATTCAACTCCTTTCCACATAAAATTTAGTATCTTAATTAATTTTGCGTGTAACGAATAAATACATAGAGTAAGCTGAGTAGAAAGAAACATAAATCTTAACTACATATTTTCATATCTCAAATTTCACAGGAATGATAATGTAGAATCGACCTTCTCTTGTTTTATACAGATATGATTATTGTATTATTTTTTTAAATAGAATACGACTTATATTTATTTATTAAAAAGAGTTTTTAATCAATTATTTGTTTGACTTTATTAATACATCACAAAAAAAATCTTATTTAAAATAGAATAGAATTGAGAATTGTTTATTCAAATAAACATAAATTTAAGAGCTTAGAAAACTGTATGATTATTCAAGTCATTTTTTTTATCTACCGGAAAGCTGTCTCATCACAAGTCTTACTTGTGATGAGACAGCTTTCTGGTAGCGGTAGCTTCCGACTTGCGTGTTGCTCTCTTAAATGATTATTGTAATTTTATAATATTATTAGGTAATAATATTAGTTCAAAATGAAGTGCATGTCCTCATGTACCGGTCAGGGATAGTGTAGGTATAAAATGGCAATACTCTAACAAGATTCATATCGGAAACTTCTTGAAAATGCTAAACCAATATTGACAATGTCTCTTAGCTTTTTGAAATTCAGGTTGAAGTTTTGGAAAATTTCCTTTAGAAAACATTGTAGAAAAATATTGTTTGTATTATAAATGTTTCATATTTATTTTTGAATAAGTGTAGGTCATTTTTGCGGATACATATTATTTCTTATATGTACATTGTTGGTAAATTTAATATATTTAGTTTCTTGAAGAGATTACTGATGCTGGCAGCTTGTATAACATCTTTTAATAAACTTTGTATGTTTGATATGTCACTTTTGTCTTCGCTGTGAGCTTTTTTGGAAATATACACAATTATCACTATTATTCTGTTTTTAATAAAATAGTCGTTGTCGCCGCTTCAGTCACAATTACAATATTATACAATGTGTACTTACTGCGCATCCTTACTGCTTTCTTCTGAAAACGCGTCGTCCTCACTCTCCGAATGGGTTCTTTTATTCCGTTGAGCGGGCGGAGGTGGCGCAGGCGCTGGCGCCGGAGGTCCCCATCCGTAGCCCCACTGGGGCTGCCCCTGATGAGGTTGGAGTGATGAGCTGGACTCCATGTGACGGTGATGATATTCCATAATCACTATTTAATTAATGCCACCAATATTTATTTTCACCAATATTTAATTTATTTTCACCAATATTTAATTTATTGTCACCAATATTTGATTTATTGTCACTAATATTTAATTTATTGTCACTAATATTTAATTTATTGTCACTTGTTCGTTAACATAAGGTGCATATTAAGGCACATCTTATCGATGTCTTGAACACACTTCGGGTATCTGGAGGCGACACGTGCGTGCGTGTGGGCCGACGGCGCCGGAGTGTGCTGCCGCGTGCTAACCGTGTGCCGGCACCCTTAGCGCTCGCCCTGTGTATACCACACTTTATTTTTCCAAACATATCCCACACCCATTTAAACGATTGTGATATTTATTCCTTTGTAATAACGGTTATTAAGTACGCTATATAAAAGTTGCAAATTATTTTTTACACAGATTTGGGACTGCAATTCTAGTGAGCGAATTTATACTTTATTATAGTTGTGTTTAAGGTTATTTAACTGAAATTTGGGGGGTCAAACGCCACATTAACTATTACGAATGTTTGTTCCTATACCGCGTATTACATTTTAATATTTATACAGTAAGAAATAGGGTCGATAATGCAGATTTTTTATGATACTGGGTGGTTAATACTGCCGCGTGTCGGGCGTACGGTGGGAAAATGAGTAACAATTAGGAAATGCAATTTTATTCGCCGGAGTGTATGTGTGAATGTTATCTCCATGAAGGGGTGGATTGAGAAGCGTGGGACCAACTGTAGGTATATTGGGATTTACTGACTCACTGAGTTAGTACCTAACGGTTTATTCATATTTCGAGTACCCCTATATACTGACTGTTTTTTACTAATGACGTATAAACTTACAACATTGTTAATATTAGGTTATACTCTTTTTGGAAGTTCGCAATATATTTAATAATAGCTGTTCCCGCGACTTCATCCTCGTGGAAAATAAAAGAAGCCTAAGTTACTTCCTTTTACATCGGCTACCTGCCAAAAAAAGTCCCGTCAAAAACGGTCCAGCCATTTCAGAGATTAGCCGGAACAAACAGACAGACAGACAAAATTTGGTGTATGTAGCGTATATATATTCATATGCATGTAGTAAAAAACTGTTATTTCAATATTAGAAACAGACACTTCAATTTTATATATATAGATAATAATCTAGTAGAAGTTCGCAATATATTTAAAAAAATGTTATTTTGGTGTATGTAGCGTATACATATATATTCATATGCATGTAGTAAAAAACGGTTATTTCAATATTAGAAACAGACACTTCAATTTTATTTATATGTATAGATTATTATATTATTATAATATTTAATAATGAATTAGTACTACTTGGTAGTTTGTATTCTCATATTTCAACATAAAAATGTAAAGTTACAACATTAAATTATTTAAAAGAGCAACACACAATTTTCTTGCTCGTTCTTCTTGCGATGAGACAGCTTTCCGAATGAGCGGTAGAATAAAAAAAGTAATGACTATTCTAAAGTGCTTCAATGTAAGTTTATTTTAAAAAAGCATTTTCTATTCTATTCCATTCTAAAAGCGGAAAGTAGTCTCTCTCATAAAACATAAACTTGTATATTACGTTGACATTAAAAAATAAAGAAATATGCTATTATACAATTTGACAGGCATTGCAATATGTTCCCGAATATAAGAACATTATAACTGTTTCAAGTATATGTAAGTAGAAAAAAGTTTTTGCTTCTTCAGTATAAAACAAAATCGCTGTCGCTGTCTGTCCGTCCCTACGTATGCTTAAATCTTAATTAAACTACCCAACGGATTTTGAAGCGGTTTGTAATAGATAGAGTGATTCAAGAGGAAGGTTTATATATATAATACATTGACGACCTCGGTGGTATAGCGGTCTAGTACACCGCTTTACAAAAATCACACACGGCACAAACATTTGTATTCATGAGTATGATTGTTTGTATCGGTCTGGGTATTTTCTATGTATAATATGTATGTATTTAGGAAACAAAATATGTATGTATTTGTATCAGTTATCTAGTACCCATAACACAAGCTTCAGCTAGCTTAACTTTGGTCTAGATGGCGCTGTGTGAATTGTCCTGAGAATATTATTACTATTATATTAGGTACAACCGAACGAAGCTGGACGAGTAGCTAGTTCTTTATATGAAAACTTAAAAGGAAGCTTGGCGGTAGAAATAGTCGAGACTGACAGTAGACAGATGTCTTTGTACATACTCTACCTTAAGTTAATTACATTAATATCAATCTATTCGACAAATAATCACAATTGTCGGGTGATTTTTTGCATAAATCGAATTACCCCAACTGTAAAACATGTTTAGTGTGGTGGTTATCCTCACCACTTAGCGTTATATATGTTGTGATGTGATGAGGTGTCGCTATTTAATATATTTTTGAAAAAATTGTCGAGCGATTGTTGCACACGTCCAGCATACGCCCCGGAAGTGGTTGAATACCGTTGTCCCGCCGCGCCGCCTTGCGTTGTGCGGCACAAACTTCAGAATACTTAAAATTATCTTTGTTTTATATATGTGTATTATATACATGATAATAATTATTAGTAAAATAATATGTACCTATTCTAATATGACAGTATGACACATCCTGTACAATAAAATCGTGTTTTAAGCTGCACCGTCAGCTATAAATTCTTCCACATGCAGTTTCACTGACGATGCAGCACTTTCTTATTAAATGTGAAAGTATATTTTAATATAATTATAAGAATCAGCCTCCATCGAGGAGCTGCCATTGGTGTAGTAAGTGTAAATATATTGTAATAAAATTATATTTTTAGAGACAAACGAACTTGCTGCTCACGTGATGGTAAGTGATTACCGCAGCCCTTGAGCATCCGCAATACCAGGGGAATTGCAAGTACGTTGTCGGTCTTTTAAGAAGGAATAAGCTCTTTTCTTTAAAAATATTGTATTGGTTCGGAAATACCACTGCTAGAAAGAAGGTGATTCCACAATGTAGGATGCGTGGCAAAAGGTTTGAAAGCCGATTTTCTTAACCATCATATAAATGATAAATGTGTATTTACAGCCTCGGTGGTCTAGTGGTTTAGCACACCGCTTTACTATCCGATGGTCGTGGGTTCGATTCCTCGCACGGTACAAACATTTGTATTCATGAGTATGATTGTTTGTATCGGTCCGGGTGTTTTCTATGTATAATATGTATTTATTTACAAAAAAAATGTATCCATGTATTTATATCAGTTGTCTAATACCCGTAACACAAGCTCTGCTTAGTTTGGGACTAGATGGCGCTGTGTGAATTGTCCTGAAATATTATTATTATATCTGTTTGTTACAATTTAATGAAAGGGCTGAATAAATTTTAATGAAATTTTATGTAGATTTTATCTCTAGATAGGACTTGGAAAACGAAGAGAAATATGGACTGAAAGTTTATGCAGGTAATTATAACCTAAAAATGTATCTGTTATTATTATATACATCTAAATGAATGGAATATACCATTCGTATTGTAAGAGTTCTCTATCTATTATAGTTACCTATGCATTCACAAAAAAATGTACTGTATAATTAAGTATTTATATCAGTTGTCTAGTAACCATAACATAAGCTCTACTTAACTTGAGACTAGATAGTGTTGTTTGAATTGAACTGGGTCATATTTATTTAAAGATTTATTTTAATCCATCAAGTATTTGACAGTATTTTATTAAAAATTTTATCTTCCACACATATCAATGCCTTACAAGATCTCGTAAGATATGCTATATGTAGAGTACAAAAAGCTGCCGAAAGTCATGCCTCGCTTGTTTTGCGTGCACACATACGTTTTTAACAATATGTCTTTTAACAAAAGTGTCGCGTATATACTTCAGAGGTTTAATCCCATCAGATTTGTTGTTAAAAGAGTCAATCCTATAGCAGGCATTGTACCGGCAGTAATCCGTTCAGAGCTATCGTCTTACGATGAAGTTAGTAAAAAGTGCCGTTTTGTTGGCTCATAATGGAAGCATTGTCAGCGATTTTGAAGCATTATTTGTGACAGAAGTATATTTTTGTTCCGCGACTTTGTTCGTGTGGAATTTAACTTATTTTCTTTTTTGAAATAATTCACTAAAATAAAAGTAATCTAAGTTAATCCTTATAATATTAGGTATATGCGAGAGAATGTCCCGTCAATAAGATTAGCAAGAACTATCAGCTAGATAGACAGACAGAAAATATTTTTTTTTCATTATTTTTTTTTATATAAGTACTGTATACTCTTCCATATGCATTTAGAGAGAAGCTGTTAATGTGATATTACAAACAGATACTTTAATTTTATTAATTTGTATAGATTTGACTCGGTTTCAAAAAGAAGGTTTTCGTTTCATAGTATAAAACAAAGTCGCTGTCGCTGTCTGTCCGTCCCTATGTTTTAAACTACGCAACGGATTTTGAAGCGGTTTTCTTTAATAGATAGAGTGATTCAAGAGGAAGGTTTATATATATAATACATGTACACCCGTGCGAAACCGGGGCAAATAGCTAGTATTTGTATAATTCAGAATCATTATACATACTGATTAGGTCGCAGGGACTGACTATACAATAGAAACACAGCTATGTATGTATTTCTGAATTATAGCGCCACCTAGTCCCAAGCTAAGCAGATCTTCCGTTATAGGTACTATACAACTGAAGGATATACTCAGATGTTTTGTTTTTGTAAATACATATATAATATACATAGAAAACAACCAAATCAATACAAACAATCAGATTCATGCAAGGAATCGATACCGCGCGAGGAATCGAACCCGCCACCATCGTAAGTGCAGCGCTGTGCTAACCCGCTAAACTACATGAGTTGTTGAATTTATTGACAGTATTTTAGCTCCAGGCTGGTAAGCCACTGTTGGTACCATAAACAAGCATCGCTTAACACAATCTACTTGAGGATACAAAAAGTTAAGGGCTTTTTTTTTATATTTAACCCGTTTTTTTGTGGGCGTGAGAAGAAACGGTGGGATACTGGGACAGGTGGTGGCGGACGGCACCATTCATTGTGGTATACCATTGTTCACGTACGTGTCGCGAAATTGTGTGCCACACTGGTTTTCTATGCGAAAGGAAACCTTTGTTAGTTTATGGGAGTTTGATTAGCATTCGATGTTTATGAATCTGCCAATCTTTATTTAATATTATGGAGAGGAAAGATTATGCTTTTTGTATGTTTGTTTGTTGTAGTTTTATTTTATAAACTATCTGTACCCGCGACTTCGTCCTCGTGGGAGATAACTATGTTCCGTC